ATGTGCCAGATGATCACATTCTACCTTGCAGGTGGTTATTTCTGTATTTTATTTTCTCCTATAACACTGTAAGTTTCTTGCGTGTAGGGACTTTGTATCCCTCTTAGTACACAGAAAAGACCCTTAACACATAAGTAGTAGTACACATATTAGATACATTTTTATTTAATTGATTTGGTACAATGTGGATTCTTTGTATTAAGTTAGGATAGATTTAATAATTTTTTAATCAAATAAAAAGTAGCATTCCATGCAACTGACCATTCTAGCCATTTTCCTTAACTTGTATCACTCCTTATTCTTACGATTTTCTTCCTATGTCTCTGGACACTTCTATGTCCCTTTTTGAGGCTCATTCTTTTCAAGCCTTTTGTATGTCTATCTTTTAAAGTGCAGGAGTTCTTCAAGGATTGGATTGGTCCTTGGTCATCTCTATTCTTTTTTTTTTTTTTTTTTGAGACACAGCCTGGAGTACAGTGGTGTGATCATACCTTATTGCAGCCTCAAACTTCTGGGCTCAAGTGATCCTCCTGCCTCAGCCTTCTGAGTAGCTGATAGCTCAGTCACCAAGGGATGGTCTTTTTTTCTTTTTTTAGAGTCTTTTTTTTTTTTTGAGACACAGCCTGGAGTACAGTGGTGTGAGCATACCTTATTGCAGCCTCAAACTTCTGGGCTCAAGTGATCCTCCTGCCTCAGCCTTCTGAGTAGCTGATAGTACAGGCATGTGCCACCATGGCACATTTTTCCATGGCTAATTTTTCTTATTTTTTGTAGACGCAGGGTCTCACTATGTTGCCCAGACTGGTCCTGAACTCCTGGTCTCAAATGATTATCCTGTCTCAGCCTCCCAAAGTGCTGGGATTATAGATGTCATCTATATTCTTATGCTATACTGGTTCCCTAGGCAATTTCATTCACATACATTGCATTAATTACCAATGATGCACAGATGAATCCCAAATATATACATCTCTCTCTCCCCTGATCTTCAATGGAAATAATCCAAAGCATCAAAAATTAGTTCATTAAAAGCTAGTTTGCAAAGTGGCCAATTTGCCAAATTATTGAGGATTTATTTTAAGGTTAATTTTTGCCATATTCCTGCCTCTGGGGAAAAAGTGACTATAATCATTCTGGTCTAACATAAGGTATTTATTTGTGTGAAGTCTGAAGCAGATATAAAACAACTGATTATTTGGTATAATGATTTTTAGTGAGTTATCTTTTGGTGAACTGAAATGATGATTAAGAAACAGATCCAACTCTTCCTTTTTCTTACTACCTGTATCTGTGAAGTAGATTTTCTTCATATACTTCATGGAAAAAAACCAGATTGTAACAGATTGAATACAAAAGCACAAGAGAATCCAGCTGTCTTCCATTAAGTCAGATATTAAGAGACTTGCAAGAATGTACATAATGTTAAAAAGTTTGAGAACCACTGCTCTAAAGCATGGAAAGGTAAGAAACAATTAAACTATATTTGCACTGCAGAAGTTAAGACAAATGCAGAAAAGATACAGGTAGAATTCTTGCCCAGCGCTAACTTCAAAGCCAGTCTTCTTAATTACTCTGTTCAGGCTGGATATAAAAATAAATAGGCAGAACATGAATCTTTTATAAAGATATCAAAAGCAAGGTGGTATGTAAGTTTGATATACTGAGAAAGACAGAGCAATAGAAAGTTACTTTAAAGAGAAGAGATACGAATAAGAGTTTATAAAAAATAATAGTCTGGTAAGATTGTATAGCATAGTATCTTTTGAAATACCACATTACTCAGTTCTAAAAAACTTATACTGTTTGATATTTTTACAAACTAAAGATTAAAAAATCTTATAAAATTATTAAGATAATTTTTAAAATATACTTACATTTGGGCTCATCCATTGTAACAGCCAGAATAAAATCATATGGAGTCATGAATAACTGTCCTTCACATTCTATAGAAGCAAATAAACGAAATCGCCTCTCCCGAGATGTAGCATAGAGGTCTAAGTCTTCAATGTCTGTTCTCCCAACAGCAACCTAAAGTTAAGGGAGCAAATAAATTTGGACTGTGTGAAATATCACCTCCTTTTAGAAGGTAAAATACTTTTAATTATTTTGAAAGTGAATTAACAGTAAATGAAGAAGTGTGAAAATATTTTGTCTTCTCAAGAACCTTAATCATTTTATAAATAAATTATTCACATAAATAAAATGGATTAATGCTCAAAAGATCCTACAATGAATATCATTAAGGGCTTGAAGGCTTTAAACTGATACTTTGAAGAATTTGTGATTTTTTTTAGTTTATCACTTAATTTCAGTCTTATAGAACATTAAATTATGGAGCCAGTAGTGTCTATAGGAAGAATACCAACACTCGCTGAATGCCTACTATA